ACATACATGGATGGGCTACTTCTAGACCTCCCAGGTTACTTACCAGCGTTGTGAAGGACCTTTGCGTGCAGTATGTAATTAGCGAAGCCCCCTCCCCCTTTGGAAATATACAATACCTCACCTCACCTCATAACAAATATATATTTCCCACACCACTCTCGATCGAGCACCAAACACTCCCCCCCCTCTCTATGTGATCTGATCACCAACCATCCGACAGGACAGGACCAACATATAATTGAAAGAAAAAAAAACTCCTATTCTTTTCTATCTAAAAAAGCAAACTTGCAAACTGCAAGAGAAAACCCTCAATTCATAGCGGACAATAACGGGAGGGGAACGGGGACGCTTTCCATCAATTCGATTTTTGATTCAGTTGTTTCCCCGTTCTCCCACGCACCACGCAGGAAATAAATAAATAAAGTCATCAGGCAGACCTAGGAAATATGAAAATGGGACCGCGGTTGGAGGATTATAACCATAATCAACGGAGATAATAAACGGACGAGGAAAAAATGAAGAGAAAGGGAAAATTACAGCCCATTTGGATCGTGTCAAAAGTAGAAAGGAAAACGGAGTAAGAGGGGGGGGGGAAAGTAGGGAAAGGGTAGGTAGGATAGAAATCTTTTTTCTCGTTCAACCATTTCATTTAAGAGGAAACCCATCCCATCCCATCCACCCAATCCAATTTCGCCCTCAAACACCACCATCAACCAACCCACACAAACCCCCCTCTACTGCGACGCGCACTGCATCCTCTCCGCCCCCTGCGGAATCCCATCCTCATCCTCATCATCCATCCCACCACCCGCCGCGCCCCTAGCCCTCGCCTGCCCGTGAGGATCCACCTCCTCCAGCTCAAAATCATCGACCATCGAATCCGAGGGCGGTCCATCCTGCTGTTTGCGGGGCGGGAGGACCTTTTCGAGGAGGTCGAGGTTCGTCATCTGGTTGGGTTCGGGGAATTTGACGTCGAATTGGATGTAGAGGTTTCCGAAGTCGTGGTGGCGGTGGGAGGGCATGCCTTGGCCTTTGATTACTTTGACTTGACCTGGGGGGAGTCAGTTGGTGTTTAGAGTGAAAAAAAGTGTTATGTAGTACTTACCCGGTGTGATGCATTCGTTTGGTGCGATCGTCACCGTCAGCCACCTATCGTCAAGGTGCTCGATGTGAATGGTACCTCCCGCAAGGGCGGTAAGAAGATCAATCTCAGCATGGTAGAATAGATCATCGTCTTTCCGTTGGAATCGTGGATGCGGCTTCTGTTCAATCTCAAACTGTACGTCTCCCGCCATAACATCCGGCATCTGATCTCCCTCCCCACGGAAGTCAATCTTATGCCCACTCCTCACACCACGGTCAACATGAACATGCAGAACCTTCCTATCCACGACAGTCTTCTTCCCGAGACAGCGCTTGCAGCGGTCCTTCTCGCGGATCGTCTCCCCCTCACCCTGGCAGTCGGGGCAGACAGTCTGGAATCGCTGGATCATCGGTCCCATCTGGCGCATCATAGTCTTCATACCGGCACCATTGCAGCCAGCGCACGTCTTGACCGCACCCTCCTTACCACCGCGGCCCTCGCAGCCCGGGCAGATGATCGATTTCTGGAGCGCCAACTTCGAGACCTTCCCGCGGTAGATATCTTCCAATGAAACCTTGTGGACGTGGTGGATAGTACGGGCCTTCTTTGGGCCAGTCTCCCTCATGCCGCCGCCGAACATGTTGCCGAAGGCTCCTCCTCCACCACCGAAGAACTGGGCGAAGAGATCCTCGGCATTCATTCCGCCGCCGGCACCACCCTGTTCGAGGCCTTCCTCGCCATACTGGTCGTAGAGACCGCGCTTCTGGGGATCTGAGAGGATTTCGTAGGCGTGGGAGAGATCCTTGAATTTGTCGGCAGCCTCTGGGTTGTGGGCATTCTTATCTGTGTTCCGGGTGGTGTTAGTCAGTATCAACCACATCACGTCCTGCGCGAGTGATATGCAACATACCGGGATGATGCTTTAATGCGCCCTTCTTGTAGGCTGTCTTCAACTCGGCTTCTGTGGCATTTGGGGAAACCTATCAAACATCACGTCATCAGGTCAGTTATCAAGTCCATATTCTCTTTATCGGTCTTCCTCGATCTCTCTCCCGCCAAGGCTGGATGTTGGTTCGGACATACCCCTAAAGTGTCATAAAACTTGGTTTCTTTCACCATCTTGACTCCAGTCTATTTCGTATGCAGAGGAAAGAGATAAAAGGAAGGTAGGGAAGAGGAAGAGGGAGAGGAGAAAAACTCGAGAGGTTCTTCAAATAGTTGCCGTGGGGAAAGATTTGAAGTGGGTTGATTTCAGTGATGGGGGGGGGGGTGTGAATCTTCCGGAAATGACTAGTTGACCGGGGGCGAGAAGGCGAGAACTCTCTCACGGAAGTGGACGGGCGTGATTATTTGTTGTTGTAGTGTCGGATGAAGAGATAGGGAAAGGTCGTGGATAGAGTAGAGGTAGAGTAGAGATGTTCAGGCGATGAGGATGAGTGCTCGTTGCCTTTTAAGAAGGGGAAGAAAGAAGAAGCTTCAAAAAAATTATGAAATCCTAAATTTTTCTTTTGGATGTTTTTTTTTTGGTTAACGTCAAGTCTCTCTATTATTATGCATCACTTTGGTAACGGCACTGGTATTTGTTACAACTTACCTAAGCTTCACCGAATGGCCTTGCAAGTTTCTAGTTCTGTTATTGCTCGTTGGATAAGTAGTAGTAGTAGTAGTGGTTTATCTATATCCTGTCCTTTCTCTCGGAAGATATAGAAATCCCCTACTTAAAACAAAGAGTGCCTCGTAGAATCCAACAGAAAGAAAAGAAGTTCCGTCTGTCTTGATCGTTAATGCGAAGTTCAGTAAGAATGTTCCTCCCGCAGTAAGAAAAGAGAAGAAAGAGGGCGAAAGTGTGGCTGGTGTACCTTTCTCTACGATTCTGAACGTTTCCATCTCCCTCGACCCGCTTCTTTTCTTCCGCTTTCGTCAACGCGTCCGAGTGGCGGTACCGTATTTTCTACCGAGGGATGGGTTTGCCCATAGAAACAGTGGTATGGGGATTGTATTGATAACTTTACGCGGGTTGGTGCCTGCACATCTCATGCGCCACATCTATCTCTCACCAGCCACAGATGGGAATTCTCGCCCTGCTTATGTCAGATAGGGCGGAGTGAAGCGCTTAGATCAGCCTTGCTTCACGAGAGGATAGGGGGGATGGGCTTAGGCCCCCTTTCACTCTCTTTTTGGTCCGGAGAGACATTCCGATTCCAGTATAGACATGATACTATTTATATACGAGTCTGAATAACGGCTCGATAGCCATATATGAAACAATGAAGAGAACCATACAGCAAATATACGCTTTACCGTCATACTTTTATTTTTACTCCCCTCAGGTCATAAAGGGGGGATCGCCTCATTACCTTCTATACATCTTCAAAGCTTTCCCTTATCATGACTTCGTAAGCCGATGAATCTCCTCAAAGTAGAACTTCAGATCCTCCGGATTCACCTGCGGCGTGATACCTATCATCAAGGTTAGCTTCAGATCACCACGCATGCCCAAGTGAGTTCCATACCATGCCCCAAATTCGCTATCCACCCCTTCTTCCCCCCTCCAAACCCCCTCACCATATCCTCCACCGCCCCCGTAATCGCCTCCCTCGTCCCGTACAAAATCCCCGGATCCGCATTCCCCTGCAGCGTAACCCTCCCCCGCGCAATCTTCACCGCTTCCGCCGGATCATGCAACCAATCCAACCCCACAACATCATACCCCGAATCACACAGCTCGTCAAGCGCATACCACGCCCCCTTCGCGAACACCGTCATCGGAACAACCTCCTGCCCGAGTTCCGCAAGTTTCTTGGGTAAATTCGCCGAAATGTACCTGAGATACGGGAGCGCAAACTCCCCAAACGACTTTGGCGAAAGCTCCGACGCCCACGAATCGAAAACCTGAACCATCTGCGCCCCCGCAACAACCTGCTGAGCAAGATACTCGACGCAAATTTCCGAAATCTTCTGCAACAGGGCCTTCGCTTCCGCTGGGTACTTGTACACCCACGTCTTAATCGCGATGAACAACTTACTCCCCCCTCCCTCAACCATATAACAAAGCAACGTCCACGGCGCCCCGCAGAACCCAATCAGCGGCACCCGTCCGCGCAACTTCTCCCTCGTAAGCGTGATAGCGTCATACACATACCCCAACTCAGACTTAACATCGACCCGCTTCTCCATCACCCTCGCATACTGCCCATCATCCGGAGTCTTTAGCGGGCTAGGGAAACTCGGCCCCTTGCCATCGATCATTTCGACGGTCATGCCCATCGCCTGCGGGATGACAAGGATGTCGGAGAAGATGATTGCCGCATCGATGAGGTTTGCGTAGCGGTCGATTGGTTGGAGGGTGAGGGTTGAGGCGATTTCGGGGCTGCGGCAGCAGGCGAAGAAGTCGTTTTTGCCTTTTGCTTCGTGGTATTCGGGGAGGTAGCGGCCGGCTGTGGTGAGATGAGTGTTAGTTACGAGATGCGCCCAATTGGAAGCGGTAGGTTTTATACCAGAGAGAGAGCTGTTTTTCTCACTCACCTTGTCGCATCACCCACATTGGGGGACGTTCCACCTTCTCACCTGTGGAGGGGTAGGTTCTGTTAGTTTGATTTCTTGCATCCTGGGCTCGCTCGCCAATTGATAAGGAGGGGTGTACCTCGAGCAGTTCTGAGCAGTAAGTCATTCTTAAGGGGTTCGAATTGGGGGGCCATCTTGGGCGATATTATTTTATTCTCCTGTACCTATATAAGTGCGGGAGTGTCGAAGCTGTGAGTCTTAAGTTAATTCCCCTTTTCGGAATGTTGGTGGTTGATTTTCGATCTAGAGGGGTCGATGGAAAGCCGAGGCCTGTGGGCACTTGCCTCACACTCCACCACACCTTATTATCTCAGACGTCTTTCCCACCTTGTCGGAAATAAAACTAGCGTCAGGCACTATGGCCGAGTGGTCTAAGGCGATTGACTCGAATTGGATCATTTTATATGATCTGTGATTTGTTATCAATTCTCTTCGGAGGCGTCGGTTCAAATCCGACTGGTGTCGCTCTTTTTTTTTTTTCGTGATGCAAATACCATCGTTAAAATGATTTAGAAAACTGCGTTAAAAGTTACAGAAAGTGAGTGAGTGATATGCGTAATAGATCACGGTTTTGATTGTTTTTGCACTAATCGTGCTCAATGAGATGATTTATTAACAAATTCAGAGAGAGCATCATCCCTTCCTCACACCCCGTCTCTTCTGGAAATTCTTCATGTCATATAAAAAACACCGAGAGCCTTTGCCTTCCTTGTCTGCTTTGGATTTATCGTCTTCCCCTAAGTGGGAAGAAGTCACCTCTGCCTGCCTTGAGAACTGATGGAGGTAGTTGAAGCGACCCCTGTGCAAGGCATTCTGTTCAGAGCGATATATTAGCATACATAGACCATTACTTTTCCATACTAGCAGCCGAGCCTTTTAAAAAGCCAGGGTGCGGGTCGGTTATAATCACCAAATTCTTCAAACCCACGCCCATCCTTAAGATAGCTAGCTGCGAAATGGCATCTTATCTTCGTCCTCATTAACCCCCCATAGCAAAACCGTCATTATCGTCGGTTTGCATCTTCTCTAGCATTAGCGTCGACATAGAACTCTCGACGCTATCGAGGTCGTTATTTATCGATTCGATCTGTTCGGGTTGAAGTGCAGGGACCATATCTGATGCTGCTACCGCTAGGTTCGTCAATCGCTTGATTAGGGCGTTGGATGGGGAGTCATCGTTTATGCTATTATCCTCCTTGCTGGCGCCGTCGTCGTTGGCGTCGGTTTTGGGTGGTGAGGATGTTGCAGCGTCCGCTGAATTGTGAGGTTCAAGTGTTAGTAATGGAGGATCGATCTTGCGGAGTATAACGCATCTATCTGTACATACAATCTTTATCTTGCTTTTGCTTCTTGATAAAAAGCTTGCCCGGACTCATCTCATTTGAAAAGTCTGTAGCAAGACCGAACATGCGACATAGCTCATCAGCGCTCATGGGGTTTGGAACTTGAATAGCCCTAATCTCCTCGATTAATTCTTTGACCAAGTCGTTGGCCATTTCGAGAGTAAGGGTCGTTGGATGCAGCAGACTCGATAGGAGTAGGAGTAGCTGGAACTATGATAGAGTGATTGGGTGCCCGAGGAAGTGAGTGTTGGTTGTAAGGTTGTGGGAAGTAGTGAGGAGGGATATAGCTGGTCCCGACAGAACAGAGGGAACTTGATCGATGACAGGGACAGCTCAAACGACGAGTTTAGTTGTAAAGTAGCGCATGAGCTGACCAGCCGAGCGTGATCTTAGTGTAATCTCGTGTAGGATAGGTGATGGCCTACTTAGTACTGTTAGAGGTCAACTAAAGTGAGAGGGTGGTGAGAGGGAAAGTGAGAGATAACCAAGGTCACTCATCACCGCACTCGCATTTCCGGGGTCATATCTCTCAATGTTCCATCCTCCTTCTTCTTCCCGTCTTCTTTCCTTTATATATCCCCTTTCGAGCGTTGAGCCTTGCTTTTCTCTCGGCGGTAATACTCCCATCCTCTCAATCCAGACACCAGACAACGTCGAATAAACGCATATAGACGACCAAGCCAGCCCACGAGATGGAGCAGACGCAGCTTACCGACCTAGCCTTTACGACCAGAGGGTACGCCATACCGGATCTCAGGCGCGGCAGACCTCTCCATGAAACCATCAACGCGAACAGTAAATCGAAGTCGCCCATTTACACCGTCATCGGCGACGGTCTAGCATCGTCGATTTTCAGATCGGACTTAGAGCCGGCCGATGACGAGAAAGGGGAGCCAGGCCCTGGGCAAGCAAAATATCTTATTGTTGGATACGCACCCCAGGAGCAGCTACCCGGGCTCTCCAGGAGAGCCGGCAGGAGGCAACAGATCGTAGGAGTAAAGTCACCAGAGAAGCTTCAAGAATGGGACCCCGAGCACCCACCAATCCTGGTAGTCACCGAGATGGATACCGAGTCGAACAGTGTCAATCATTACGGCTTGCTGCGTTCCGGCCCCGGGGACTCAAAGTTCTGCACCCCCTATGTTATCGGTGGCGTCAATGTGTTTTACCGGCACGAGTTTCGTGTCAACTGCACCGCGGTTCGCGACTGCGAGAAGAAGTGGCCTCAACAGATCACGGCTTATCGTAAGAAGGAAAGCCACATCCAAACCGGAGCCCATAACCCCGGTGGAGAACTCTCCGACAAGAAAACGAAGGCGGAAATGGCTATCAAACTGGACCCGGAGATATCCATCAGCAACGAAGCCATGTGCCTGGTGAAGGGCTTCGAGGCGTCAGGAGACAAATGGTGTCTTGAAGAGCTCAGGTTCGTTCCTGCGACCATCGACAGGGATCTCCTATTTCGACCAGCTCATCATGCAATCCACGCTTTCGTCGAGTCAAAGCAACCGATTACCCACGAGACAAGCGCCCTGGTCTGCGAGGCAATGAGGGAGATGTGGCCGGAAATTCCAGCGACCCCCGAAGTCATCATCTCCCTCAAGAGAGGTCTTATCGTCAAAAACATAGCTCTGGAATACCGCACCCTAAGAGCGTTCCTAGCCGAAGGCACCTACAGGCTATCCTGGATGGCAATCGACAGCGACGATGCCCTTGGTGAGCTGGCTGAGGAAGTGGTGGATATCGCGAGGCGCATAGTGCCTCTTGTGCCGACGACACCGATCTCCACGGAGGAGGAGGGTGCGTTGATGGTGGCAGTCCACAACAAGCTCAAGGAGATTCAAAGGTTCGGGAAGGAGTACATCGCGGCGCTTAAGTGCACGTGCGGGAAGTGCGTTTCCACCGACCTTGCCAAGGACATCTGGGACGAATATGCAGACTCCTGCGACATCGACGCAGCCCGGTCGGCATTCATGGCCGTGGCTCGCTTTTACATCATGGCCCTGGTGAAGAAGCATGAGGGGGTGCAGGGATTGATCGACAGATTGGTGGAGTTGCTTGACCGGATCGTGGGGTGAACAAGGCTGGAGCGAGGCTTTTTTCGAGTTTTTTTCCCCCGGGTGGATGGCGGAAAGGATGGGCGGGCGATTCTTACACATATCTATATTCTAGTATGCATCATCTTATCCCCGAAGAATGGAAGTCTCTTCACGTACAATTTATATCAAGTAGTTGTTAAAGCTCAGATCAATATTTTCCCGAGTACTTCTCCCTTCTCGACTTTCTCTCGACTTCCACGATCCGGTACATATTCCATCCACCAGTTGGATCCCAGCAGAGAATAGAAGTCCACTCTTGTCTCGAAGATTTAGACATCCCGACGGTTTCGTCCGTGGTCGCCAGAGCACGTCTCTTCGGTTCCTTTGGCAGCGTGATACCATGAGGTCCGAGATGCAACAGAAGATCGCTCTTGGTGAGTAACTTATCGCAGACACACATCTCTGAAAATGCTAGGCATTTCTAAGATCATTATCTCTGATCTTAGAGGGATGATTTTGCAGATAATTTGTCTGTTCTTGACCATGAGTCCAAATCCTGTCTGCGATTCCAAGACTCTGATCATGGGAGCAGAATATGCAGAAGTTCGATCGCAGTAGCCGACCGCTGTTGGAGATGGAGTATTGGATTCTTGGATGGATCCAGAAAAACCTCACAGAAGTTGCAGAAGATTATGTCCATATTTTTGCTGTCGGATTGATAGTGTACACATGGGTCGCCAGAAGACGGCTGTAGAGTGCATCTGACCGAGTCAAAACCGGGGTCATCTCTTGCCGATGAAGACGTTTGCCTTCCTTTGTCTGGTCACTTCGAGAGATTGTCGCATAGACTCTTCCACCATTTCCCAGGTAGCACCGTTGTCGAGTAGAAAGAGAATCAAGATCGCATCTTCTCTTGCCATCATTGTATCGGCTACTGTAGTAACTTGCCGAGTTCGTTCGAATGAGAAGCGATGCATAGACCGCTATCTATGATAAACTGGAGATAGGCTAACGAGAAGATGCTCGCGCGTATCGAATTGATCGAGATACAATTCTGGAAGTGAATCCAAAGGAGAGTTCTGGAAAGAGACGCCGTGATCTACGAGAACTCGAGCGGTCTGAACCGTCCTCTTTCAGGCGAAACGATCGTTGAGAAGCTTCTGAATGCCTACGAGCACTTTGCGATAGAGTGCGAGATGGGCCAGCATAAAATTCCCCAGAACCTCGATCGAAAAATAGGGGGTTGAGGATGAGGGATTGAATGTTAAGTGAATAATTTGGCGGTGGTTGTGGAAATTTTTAATTTGTGACGGTGCGGTTTCGACTGCCGGTTTTCAGGCGTCGGTTTGAATCCGACTGGTGTTGACCTCTTTTTTGACATATATCATCGTTAAAATGATCTAGAAAACTGCGGGAGAAGAGAGAGATGGCATCGCAAGGGGACTGTATTCGAACGTCGGGTGCTAAATCGCTAAGACTGCTGTTTTGATATTTTTGCACTATACACAATTCGCCCGGACACAGACGCTGGCCATCACTCCTCTCCACCCCTTCTTTTTCGGAGATTCTCTATACCATATAATAAATCGCCGAGAGCCTTTCTCTTGTCTGCTTTGGATTTCTCGTCTTCACTGAGGGAGAAGAAGTCACCTGTGCCTTGGGAACTGATAGAAGTAGTCGTAGGACCCAAAACGGGCACCGAATCGAGCGCTTCTTTCCCCATGGTCAATTTGAAAGCTTGGAGTAGTGTTTGCGGCGACTCTGGTTTTGTTCTTGTCGTTTTTGTGGAGCTAGGTTCGTGGAGGTTGTCGATTGAAACTATAATCGTACTGTCCCTAAGACATGTCACGTCGAGGACGTTTCCGGAGAGTTGAATTGGTGGACATGGGGTCAGGACGCCGTCTAGTCCGAAGCTGAAGCAGAAGAGAGAAGGGATTCTGTATACGTCAGTATATTAGCTAATGTATCTAATCGGGCCGTAAAGCTAGAAACTAACCCATCACAAGCTACCATGACAGCTGTTGTGCTTTGATCCAGGGGCAAGGTCCAAATTCCACGCACAGCCAGCTCCTGTGAATCTAAT